AAGAGGTTAACGACAAGGGGAGCTGGGTAAAGGGTATATTGATCTTTGCAGTCTTTCTCTTAACCTAAAATCATTCCAATACAAAAGTTTATTTTTAAAAAATTATAATTCAGCAGCTACCATACAGATGTGTTCTCTGCTCCTGCCCCAGAGCATTTGCACTTGGCGTCCTCTCTGTCTGTAGAGTGTCTGTCTCAGGCATCCACTTGAGGCTCATCTGCATCTCTTTTATGTGTCTGCTCAAATGTCATCTTAGTGAGACTTTCCCTGGTCACTGTATTCAAAATTATAATCCCCACCTCCCATTTGGAATTCCTCACTTCCCAGAACTTCCCTGCTTTATTTTCCTCTATTACATTTATTACCACCTGACATATTATTTTTCATGTCTTATTTTTTGTGTCTGTCCCCACTAGAATATAAGCTCCCTTAGGACAGCAGAATAGAGCCTGATGGATGGTAAGTTTTCAATGAATAGTTAACTGGAAAGATCCAGGCAGGGAAATGATATTCAGAGAAAGAAAGCCACCAGCGGAAACAAGGGAGACAGTGACAGCTGCACCAATCTAGCCTCGCTAATGGATGATAAGTGTCTAAGGCTTAATTATAATGACTAATGAGCTACGGGTTCAGCTGTGTTTTCCCAGCACTAAGCCATATCTTATTTATCTTTGTATCCTTCCTTCTTTGCACCTAATAAGCACTAATAAATGAATGGAAAGGCTCACTTAACTAAAGAGGAGAGGGTTTGGGGAGGAAAAGTAATAAAGTTGGAGCCTTAATGGGGAACTGGGGTTGAAACTTAGAAAGGAGAAGGTGTTTTCTAAAATGTTTGTTTCAACACAAGAAAAGTAAAATCTCCTTCATTTTCAAAGACAATTGAGTTCCACTAAGTATTAATGCTACAGTTACCTTAAACTAGGTATCACTTCACAGCGGTGGAGAAGGCCTAAAGCAGTGTTGCCACTATATATACCAGTTGTCATCAACAATGCATCACCAATTGAGAAGAGAAGTGGGAGAGCTGCTTCCTATTAGAGCAAAACCACTTGAGAAGGAAGCAATGAGGCAACGACAACATAAATTATTCCCTATTTTGTCCACGCAGGTTCTGCTTTTAGCTAACTAAACCATGCAATACAGTAAAATAATATTGATGATAAGCACAGTGCCATTGATTAAAAGGGACTATGAGCACTGTGCTGAGTGCTTAAAGACACACTGTCACATGGGAGGAATTTAGCTGTAATTCTCTTTCCTCTTCCTATATTTAAGGTTGAAATGGTGGCTTTGATCCTTTGTGTTCTTTAATAAGATATTTTCACTTTGCCACAATTAATTGCCACAAGACATACTACTCTCTGCTGGCAACAACCAAACAAACTCCATGTGTACTATTTACGTGCTACTGGAGTACACAGCTATCATCAAACATTTATAAAAGAACCATTGCACTAAGAGCAGCATATTAGATGTTCAGAAAATAAGAAGAAACATAAGGCATAATCTGCCCCCAAGAGGTTTACCATCTAAGGGAGCCAAGGCACAGCAAGTAGAAATAGAGCTGTATTGGACGAATGCCAGTCTTCCCTAAGAAATTGAGTAAACAAAACTGCTTTCACCTGACAATGATGTCACTCGTACAGATTGCTATTCAGATTGAAATTAGATGAAGCAATGTTGTGTAATAGAGCTGGGAGACCTAAGTTTTCATAACAGCTCTACCATTAAATCACATAGACAGTCATCGAGATTCCTTGAGGCCCTCCTTCCTGATCTTCCGAATGGGAGTTTTCCACCTCTTAGGTTCCACAAACACCAGTTTGAAAATCTTCCCCCCTCATTTCCATCTAAAACATGACGCGCTTTAAGAAGTTTTGACCTAGATAGTTTAAAGTGATCATTAATTATTCTCTCCCTACCTCTATCTCTCTCTTTCCCCTCCTTTACCCCATGTATGTGTATGTGTGTGTTTGTGTCTTACCCTTTCTATAATATGATAGAATTTATCCCAACTTGGCTTGAATCCCAGCATGCCCTATGTTTTTTGTTTAGGTTCATTAATATATTAAAACAAGCTCTATGGGTTCAGTACATCTCTAAATATGGTTTATCTATATCTCTTGCTTTGCTTTCCTCATTTATCAGTAATTTGCTCGAGTCACTGTTCATTCGAATGAGAAGGCAAAGAAAAATGAAAGATTCATTTTTTTCTTTTTTTTTACTAGTGTTTGTATAGCAGATGTCTCTTCTAATACAGCAGACTGAGGTATAGCTCTGATCAAATAGTCTTGCCTAAAATAACCATTATCAGTAAAACCTGGTGACCAGAAGATTTTTAATCCTCCAACCTCACTCCAGCATGATAATAATTTTTTTTTAATTCAAATAACAATAATATAAGAAGCTGGTTTTATAACTGTGCCTGAGGAGTAGTTTCAGGAGTTCCTTGTGGGAGGAAGGCTCATTGATACTGAATGTCTTTTTTTTTTTTTTTAATTACTTGCAGATTCGTCATATGCTTGTATAAGTTTCATTATAATAAAAATTAAAAAGCAACATTGTCAAACACTTATTGTGCATTACTATGTACCTGGCCTTTTATACATATTACCTCATTTAATCCTCCCAATAACCTTAATGAAGTTTTTTTTTAAGTTTCTCCATTTTATAGCTGAAGAAACGAGAGGTTAAAAACACATTCAAGGACATACATCTATTGGCCCTACTGACATCTTATGGGAATAAAATCATATGATAGATATAAAAATGCTGTGAGAAAGTAACTTACCATACAAAGCTGAGGCAGGAATACCCTGTCAATAAAGGAACATGTTTATTAGGTAAACGTTGGCCAGGCTTGCAACACTAAGTCATACTGAAATTTGGGCCCGGATCCAGTTTTGTAATCCCCAGATTTTTACTTTCTATAGCTTTCTATACCTTCCATTTCTCAATTATTCCATTAAAGAATTTGATTGGAATTAGAAATTTTAAATGTGGGGTACTATTGGCAATGACTAGTGGCCCAGTCTACCAAAACTGGCCTCCCCATTCCTGTCAATCAGAAAATCAGTGGTGTGTTATTTGTGATCTCTTGCCTTCTTATACCTGCAGAAATGAATGTGAACCTTTAAAGAAAACAAAACATAATTGTGGAATATCCTCAAGGTTTTAGGCATATAGACTGGGTCAGCTAAGCCAGCCTTCAGGACAGAAATCAGAATTTTGAAGGCTAAATTTTGAAACCAGCACATCAAGCGTCTGGTTTTTTTCAACAGATCACTTCTTTTCAAATACCTGACAGATAGAAATAAGCTTCAGAGAGTGACGACAATTATTTTAGCAACAGATATAAGGACAGCAAATGTTTTTCATGCCTCTCAGATTGTATTTTCATTTCATTTAATTTTCATATCTAGCTGAGACAAAAATTAGGAGAACTGGGAATGTTTATCTGTACTATATATAGCATAGCTGATTTCTGATGGCAAGGTGTAATAATTCACACATTAACATGAACCTCAGAAGCACCATATGCTCATTTGTGAAGTTTTCCCAATCCTGTCATTAGTTCTTATGGTCTTAAAATGACCATAATCCTCTCCAGGAAGCTCTCATCTTGTGAGCAGACTGGCTTTTCATGATATATTTTTTTCTAGTCACTCTTTCTTCCACCAACATTTATTTTATTTATTGAGGACTTACTAGGTGCTAGATATTCTTCTAGATGCTGGAGATAGAGCCAAGAACAAACAAAATTGGCAAATGACCCATACTTACAATCTAGTTAGGGGAGAGAGGTGAAAACAAAATAAATAAGTCTGTTAGAAGATTGTGACTTCTATGAGAAAAATTAATCAGGGAGTGCTCGGGGAGAGGGGGCACAAGTTTAAATTGAGTTCTTAAGGAAGGCCTCACTGAGAAGGTGACATTTGTGCATAGGCTTGAAGGAGATGGGGAGATGAGCTATGTGGAGACATGGAGGACAATTGTTGCAAGCTACGGGAACAATAAGTGTAAAAGCCCTGAGGCAAGAGTGTGCCAGGTATGAAGGGAAAGTGCAAGGAGGCCAGAGTGGTTGGTACAGAGGGAGTGAGAGGGACTGGAATAGTAGCTGATGCGCTCAGAAAAGTAACAGGAGCCAGATCCTGTAGAGCTTTGCAATCCATGTAATGACTGGCTTTTACTCTGTGTGAGAGGAGGAGCCACTCAAAGATTTTGAACAAAGGAATGAGAACAATCTAACTTCAGTTTATTAAAGACATAATATTAATTGTGGAACAAGTTCCCAGAATACCCCACCAAAGACTGTTAAAGCCATATCGTAGTTCAACTAAGATGCTAATCAGACTCTAAGAAACTGAGCACAGAGCACTGGATCCAGGAGGTGAGGGATTGAGTCATAGCTCAGTTGGGTGACCTTGAGCATGTCAATCAACGTCTCTGAGCCCCATTTCCTCATTGGAGAAACAAGGATAAACAATATCTGCCTCATGGCTTTATTTTGAGGATCAAGTAGAAACAGAACATAGAAGCATTTTGTAGATAATAAAACAATATGTAAATATCAGGAGGGGTGGTGAGAGCAACAGTGGCTGTGGTTGTGGCATTATTATTTCAGGGAAAATTAAATTCAGGACCTAAGTCAAAATGACAGGAATGCAACCTTCCCTTTCCCATTACTTCTTATAAAATAGCCAAGGGAATGGGGCTTCCTCCTCCAGCACTGGAGGGCACGGAGAGACAGACAGGACTCTGCTGATCTCAACAAAAGGCGTCGCTTGGGCTTCCAGCTGATCATTGGTAACTTATAGGGTGTTTATAGACTGGGGCCTCCACAGTTGATGAGTCTGTCGCCAAGAGGTTGTCATAGTGAAGATCCTGGCTTCCCTCTTGTTGGCTCTGTGAACCTCCTCAGTTCAGGCTGCAGAGCACCAGGCTGTCTACGGATGGGCAACTTCTCTAAATAACCGTAACCCTCTTCTCCTTCTCACCAGGCATTCCTCCTATGGAAGGCTTCTGGATGATCACGATTATGGGTCTTGGGGAAACTACAACAATCCTCTGTACGACGACTCCTAACAAAGGAACGTGGCCTGGGATGAGGAATAACTGCTCTTTATTTATAAGTGCTTATCCATAGAATTAATGACAAGTACCTGATGCGCATTGAGCGACAATCTTAAGCCCTGTTTTGTTGGTTTGGTTATCTTGTTTTCCTCACTCTCCTCTGGATGCTACAACTTACCCTTTCTGGTACGAAAAGAACCATTACATAAAGGTGAGTGGAGGCTGAGTTGCAGCTGAAATGGGCCGACCTTGAGCCAGTGGAGCCAGACCACTGCGATGGAGGCTTCTGTACCCACCACAGGACCCACTGCAAAAAGGACAGAGGAAGAGGAATCAAGTTGTTTTGTCAGGGGGTTACTTTTAGGGGAACTTTTTGTTTGTGGATTTCTTAAACTTTTATTTAGAAAATTACATTAAATCTCAATGAGGGGAAAAGAAATGAGTTCTGGGAGGATTTCACCCTGCAGGTAAGGAAGCAGGAATTTCTCAGATTCCTTTTTAATCTCTATTTATCTGATTGTGTCTGACAGGATGCCTGTTTCTTACCTGCCTAATTAATGAAAGGGGAAACTAGAAAGTGCTCCAGAGGAGGCCAGCCAGCCAAGGGGCAGAGTAGCTGATTGCTGTCAGATTTCATTGTACCCTCTACCTGTTCTCCCCTCCAGGTCACCTGTCTCCAGGATGCCTGTCCTAGTCCACAGCAGCTGGATTCCCAGCCCACAAGCTTACAGTGGGGTTGTAGGTCCACAGAAAGCAATGAGATGAGCTTAGTTAGAGAAAAGGAAGGGAGAGGAGTGTGGAGTGAATGTACGGTAGGGTGAATGGAGGAGGGAGGAAGCTGACATGTACTGAGTGCCTCATTAAAGAAAATGGGAATCAGCTCTCAGTAACTATCAGAGGCAACCACTTCTCAGAGGAGCCCATAGAATCCTTGCTTTATCCCCACAAAGCAACTGGTTCACTGCCTTACTGTCTGTCGGATAATGGCTGTAAACTGTTTTTAAAGACGATTTTTCTAAGGCACTAGTCTATCTGCAATTGCTCATGAGGCATTTGAAAAAGACACCGTGATTAATCCATTTATTCTTTGCATACACTTACTTTACTGATTCTGCCCTTTAATAAATGAAAACTCCTAGTTAGATAGTCTTAAAATCTTGTATAACAAATTTTGAGAATGAACTGATCATTTTTACAGGTATCCATTTATTGTAATGATTCTCAATACAGGCAGTTTTGTACCCTGGGGACATTTGAAAATGTCTGGTGAGATTTTTGATTGTCACAACATGAGGGTGCTACTAGTGGGCAGAGGCTATGGATGTGCTAAACATCCTACAATGCACAGGATAGCCCACCACAACCAAGAATTATCTGGCCCAATAGTGCTGAGTTTGAGGAATTCTAATTTATTGCAATTGCCCATTGTGACAGAACAAGACTCCCAGATTTTTAACTAAATTAAATGATTTGTTACATTTTTATCCTTTTTAATTTGTTGGCTGATGGGTTGTTTTGAGCATGCATGGTTGTCTTTTTATTTCCTTGTGTGTTCGAGATAGCTTTATTTCATGGCTGTACCTCGGCCCTCCTATAACAGCTGATATTAGCAACTGATGTTCTGATTTCGTGGAGTAGAAAACATATACTAGGTCCTGTTTTGAAATGTGTTATATTGTTTGACAATGTCATAAAGAACCTGACACTGGTGAACTTTTATTTTTAAACTTGGACTTGCTGCCATGACTCTGTTAGTTTCCAGAAACTTGACCCTTAGCTCAACCTGTCACTTGCTGCGGCCCAGCAAAGTACTGGCATGTGAACCACAGTTGCCGTGCTGTCCTAAACCCCTCTGGTATCAAAGACACCAGTATCCAGGCCATTTCTACAAACCTGCCATTCCACACTCTGGTAAGAATTTATTCCTAAATGCCTTAGGTACCAAAGGAGAATGAGCAACCACCAGAGGTATGTTACAACAGGAATGGGTAACAAGGAATGGAATTCAGATATCTCTTATTATTTAAAACAAAAAATAAAAAATGGTCAGGAATGACCAATGATGACTCCTCTGGTTGAGCTTGACCTAAATAATTGTCCCTTTTTCCTGGCCCCACTCCCTATATAGGCTTTCAGTTTGGCAAAAGATGAGTCAATAAAAACAGGACACTCCACATATATTTTTTCTCCCTCAGTCACAAACATTTTGACAAAATATCCATGAAACACCTTTGAAGAAATAGATGCACTTCTGGATGTTGCTTCCGTCATAAATCCTGGGTCAGAGGGACCAGCCTCTTTCCAAGGAATCCTGACCAGTTATAAGCCATGGACTCAGCCAGCATCTTTCCTTACTGAAGGCTAGGATTGATTGTGCACTTGATGCATTTGTTGCTCTGATTAACTTCCAAATCCCTATGGCAAAGGCAGGGATTTGGACCTAAAGCAGATCTGTTCAGCAAGGTGACAGCTTCCTATAAAAAAAACTCTCTAACATTCTTTGTTATATTAGTATAAAGTACCAGTGGGTTGAACCTGATTTTGCCAAATGTATTTTTTCTATTTCTGAGTTGGCCAAAGGATTTTAGCAACCGAATTCAACAAACTTTGCTTCACACATGTACACAATGCACACACACCTGAAATATATATGGATAATTGACGACCTTTACCTCAAGGAGTCTATCCAGCTCTACCCAAGGGAAGTAGTTCCAGTGGATCTAAACAACCACATACCCTCCAGGGACAAGACTAGTCAAAGCATCAGAGGGAATGTCAGAGCAGGAGGGAGGCAAGCAGCCTCTTGTAGATTACAGCTTGCAAATGATAAAATAGCAGATTCAATTTTGTTTTCTTTTCCTGAGGCCCCAATAAAGTCTCCTACCCTCCTTGGATGTCTGTGCCATCATTTCTTAAATGAGGGTGATGCTTTTTTATTGACCTCACCCATGCTACCTTACAAATGTGTTGTGAGGATTAATGAAATCATGTCTACAGTGTTTTAAGTTTCTTCAGAAAAATATTTATAGACATTTTAAGTATTTTAAGTATTACACAAGTATATAAGTGCTCTCAGTTTCTTATCTGTTGTCATACTGGTGTGTCATTTTTACTTGTCTATAAAACAACGGCTTTGTCATAGCTACATCAAACAGCTGTTTCAGCTCTAGGCTACCCCCCACAATGTAGCTGACTGACTGAGGGTTAACTGTGCTCGGGACCACAAAGGCTAGTTTCCATCACCATATGAAGGATGGCCCTAGACATAGGTTTCACAGGCTGTTGAGTTAGGATTCAAGAGGTTAGGGTAGCACGGTATGGATACCTGAACACTAACAGAAATAGACCTCTGGCCTTTACCATCTTGGGGTCTTCTGAGTTCCTTTGTGGAGTTGATTTTAGTTTGATGTCATCTGTTTGCCCTTCATCTTGCTTGCAAGGGTGCATGGTTCAATCCCTTGCATCTGGGAAACGAATTTTGCAACTGGGCCGGATGCAGATTTGTACGATGATTCACCTTCTTTGCCTTTAACTTCTTTTTGGCAAATAAATGTACCATTTCAACTTTGATTTCAAAGTGCTAGGTGATATTGGTTATAGTGCTAAGAGACCAACACCAGATTGCTTTCTTGGGGTGAGTTGGCCAACATCATTTAAGGATGGAAAGATGTGCAACTTCTTTGATATTTAATGTAATTGTATCTACTTTTGTTGTATGGCATATTGCATATCAATTATAATTATATCAATTAAAATTGTTAAAAGCTTGTGTCTGACAGTGATGATTCACACTTTGATATGTTGTGTTATTCAAGCCATTCAGTTGATAAGCCCCATACTGCTTATATTAAGTAGCCCTGGCTTGTTTTTATAGAAAACTTATCCCACGTCAATAAATAATATTTTCTGCAGAGCGAAAAGGTCTTCCTGATCTTGAAAAAAATTGAAAAATGTCAGAAATGAAGAAATTTTACAAGCAGTGATTTTCCTCTTAACTATACACTGTGCCTTATAAAATAGATGTAAAAATAAACACTTTGATTCAATATAGACAGTGAAGCATAATTAAGTCCTATGAAAGTATACTGGCATTAGGAGTACATTTGATAACACTTGGTTCGTTCTCCTTCAAAAAAATTATATTCAGCATACCCACCCTTATCTAACAGTAAAACAGCAAGCAATATCAATCACCCAAACACTAACCAAAGATTATTCTAATTCTGAAGAAAAGACAACAACAAAGCCCACGCATTTTGAAATGCAGGAGAGGAATGGAACCACTTGCAAACTACAGCTCATTGATTTCATGATGGATGTAAACTCAAGTTCCAATTTAATAAGTTTAGGTACCTGGTTTCCAGGGGCACAGCTTGGAGGGTTGACTGTGAAGAATCAAGATGAGAAATGAGAAGAAGCATAGAATAGACCCTTTTCCATTGCTCATTCGGTCATTTCTTGAGAATCTGCCATGAACACAAAAGCAGTAAAGACTCCACCATTCCAAGTTTGTCTGCAGAGGATCGGTCAGAAAGCACTTTAAATGTGCATAGAAAGAAAAGGCTTAATAATACACAGTGTTTACATTATATGATTTTTGGGTCCAAATCAATATTTTTCCCAGTATTATTGCTTTTCCAAGTCAGATCATACTCTGTTTCAATTCTTTAGTAACCTATCTATAATCTTTTACTCTCTTGAAATCTAATGGTACTGACCAATAGCTGTATTTTGATTATTATCAGAAATCATCTAGTCATAAATGACACTTGAAAAGCATTGATCAAATTGGAAAAAAACCTGTAGTGGTATGTTCTCTTAAAGGATCTAGTCTTTGGCAAATGTACATTTGTTGCGCTAAACAGCATTAATCAATTTTAGTCGACAAATGTACCGTGTTTCTATTTTAAACAAGACACTAAATATTTACTATACAAAAGAAGGAATCTAATTAATATTTGGGGGGGGGCGCTTTGGGTACCTTGCATCAGCTTTAATGGTCATCACACTCTCTCCATCTTACAGATGAGGAACTGAGTTTCCACTATGTTAAACTCATTCATGCATGTACTGAATCCTGTGTACTCTATAATGAATAAGAAGCCCCTACAATCCAGTATTTACAATTTAGTAAGTGTCACAGGTAGGATTCTAACCCGGTTCTCCTGTCACCAGAGTCCTTGGTCTTTTGCCACCCAAGGGATTGGTATCGGATGTAAGTATAACCCAGCTCTTAAGACTCTCACACTTCTTGCTAAAATGGGAACTTTCACCCTTTGCAAAGTCCCCCTAAGCTCTTTTGGGTAGTCTCAAGGTATCTGGCATGCAGCTAACAGCAAGCCTCATAGGCTCCAGAGCACATGTGTGCTAACTCATGCTGCCCGGCTGGGCTGTGTTCTATGCCAAGAAAGAGACTGCCGCCCACCCCCCCACCACCTCATTCTGTTAGGACCCCTCTGCCTCTCAGAGTGTTAGTGAACATCTCTCTTTTAGTTGAGTCAGGGGTGAGTCCACAGCAGCCTAGACTAAGGATGCAGCCCTTGAAATCACTCCCCCTTACCCTAAGGCTCCATCGTTGTGCCAACTTGTCCCTCCTTGGTGCATAATAATAATGATAGCTTACTCTCACATGGCACCCACTATGAGCTGGATACTGTTCAAAGCACTTTACTGGATTGCCATCTCTATAAGGCAGATGTTATTAATATCCTCATTGCATAGATGATAAAACTAAGGGCCAAAGAGTTATAAAAACGTGCCCAAGGTCATGCAGCTAGTAAGTGGTGGAGCAGAATTCAAATGCCAGTGATTAGCCTCCAGAGTCCATGCTCATGACTGCTTCCACAGAGCCCTCACTCTGTGCCAGAGGTTCCTGACACACACACTCGCCAGCCATCAGACAGGCCCATCTGTGTCTGAACCCAGTGTGGACAACCAGAGGCCAAGGTTTGGCACCCACCAGAAGCCAGGTCCTTACCTGAAGGAAAGTTTTTAGAGTAGCCAAAGGGGCCCACTCTTAGAACATCTGGCCCGGCAGACTCTCAGCTGCCTCTGTTGAGATGCTGGCACTTCCAACCAAGGTCACCTACTCGACATCCACCAACTCAACAGCAGGGCTAATTCAACAGCAGAGGACTCCAGACTGACCCTTCTCTTGTCATCAGATCCACACAGCAGCTGTGGTGAGACAATCCAGACTGTTGTCTTGTTCTCCCACTAGCCATTTCGACCTTGGCACTTGGACGGGAATTCACTGCAACAAACGCTGCTGGGCAGAGTGTTGAAAAGTTCAAGTCAGTCAGAAGCCAGGTGTTATCGAGTGGTGTAAGAGACAAATGGCCACCTCAGCCTCTGTACCAGGACATTCAGCTCTATAGGGGTTCATCAGGGAAAGGTAAAAAAAGAAAAAAGAAAAAAAAAACTTCTCCATGTATTCCTGGGATATATATTAAAATCTTAACACAAAGTTAAGAATTTCATATAAGAATTAGAGTCTCACACAAACTTTGCAAGACCAGGAAGAGAAAAGGTGAGGGAAGCCACTAGCAGGTAACTGCTGAAATTCTTGGGTCTTTGGGAAGCTGCCACCACCATCTCAGGCTGCAGCAGTGAGGTGGGTGGTCCTCAAGAGCTCAGTGGGAAGCCACAGCTGCCTCCACACCTGACGCCAACAGTTTTTAAAGAATGACTTTGCCTTTTCCATATCTGGCCTGAGAAGCTCTCATAGACAAGCTCTAGCCAGAACCATACAAGAAAGAAGATTGCAAGAAATGTGGTTCCTGGCTTCTCCTCTGTATTGTAAAGGAGATCTTAGAAAAGAATGGTAACAATGCGGAGCTGAAAATAAACAAATGAGCACAGTTCACCTTTCTTATCCCAGATGAGAACTTCCCAAAAAAAGACAATATTATGTTATCCCTAATGTGATACAACTGTCCCTCAGACAACTGAGGATTCACTCCACTGCTCCCTAAAAAGAAAGTGTCCCTATGTCACTTCAGCTCTGAGAATAGTCACTCCTAGTTCAGAGGCAATCTTCCTTTGACAGCCTATGACTTACATAGGAAATTATAAGGTTAACCACTGTATCTTGGAATTGAGGGGGGATGAGAAAGGAAAGGAAAAAAGTTACTTATATATATGTGTGTGTATGTGTGCGTGTGTGTGTGTGTGTATATACATGCATGCAAGGATGAGAATATGCATAATTATGAAAGATCCTTTCTGTAAATAGTCATGTGACAATGTTGATATATAATTTTTTCCTTCTGTTAGCCATTGCACATTTCTTTTGTCCTCAGCCAACATTTCATCTGGTCATGGTTTTTAACATGGCAGATGACTCAATCTTCTATAGAAGTATGAGTAAAACTTAGGGACTGGAAAAGAGCAAAAGAGTTACTATACTGAATACTGTTTCTACCATTTAAAAAATATGGAAAGAATAAACAAATGAACAAAAGAGAGAGATTTTTTTAGATAGACTCACACTGTATATAATGTGCCAAATTATCTCCCCTCTCTACTTTCCTTACTCTCTCCTCTGTCCTCTCCTATCCTTCCATCCCACCTCTTTCACTCGCAAAAAATAGAAAGAAAAAAAAAGCTAAGAGGGAAAAAATAGAGAAGGGGTTCAAAACCATCTCAGCACTTAGCTGGCTACATGTAGAGCCCTGGGTCATTCCGCACACCCATCCACCCGTCAACTCCTCCCAGCTCCCCCATTTCTTCTTGGAGTCTTCTGAGGAAAATGATACATCTTTCAGAAAGCTAGAACTTGATAAAAGACCTACTAGGAAGAGTAAGAGAGAGTAAGAACAGGGTTCTCTTTAATTTATTCACTTTCAACATTTGAGTTCCACAGGTCATTATTCCTCCTTCAATATCCCTCTAAACCCCCATCCCTCCCCTACCATAAGGAGACTCCAGGCTGCAGATGGTTTTGCTGAGCCATGATAACAAGCTCTGGGGCTGATATGCAATGAAATGATACACATTTAACTGTTACAAAATGAGTTATCCCCAACGGCAATTAATCTCAGGCCCCAAGGCCCTGGGCTGTTGGAGGAGTCGTACCCTCTCCTCCAAATCCTATGATGTATAATAATCCAGTTTGAGGTTCTCTGAGTCGCACAGCACAGAATTTTTCCACCTAAAATTTTTACAGGATCCTCATTAAGAAACCCTGACCAGCAGCGTGGGGTGTGCACACAGCTGTCAGAGTGATCCCTTCCGCTGCCTTATCTCCATGACTTGTTCTCAGTCATTAGAAACATCAGCTTTGCCCTCCAGTTGTTCTGCTCCAAACTGTCATCACTGACAGCTGCTCTACAGGGCATCACTGAACACACATGACTACATGTTGATGTCTTGCTTCCTGGAATTCCAACGTGTCAGCAGACAAGATGACCCAAGATGGGCCTAATCAGAGAGAGGAATGCTCACATATTTCTCGGTGCCCCCAAAGAACACAGGGATGCTGTTATTACACAAACTTAGACATTTTATGAAAGCATGTAGACAAGCCAATGAATTCATATCGTTTTGTATTCCACAGAATTTCAAAAGATATTTATTGAGACGGTGAGAGAAGAGCTGACATCTACTAAGCTCCTGATATGCATTGGAAACAGGGCAGATGCTTTACAAATATTATTTCACTGCATCCATGGCACGGAAGTCATTATAAACTCAGACTCTGGAGCTAGCATGTCTGGGTTTGAATTTCACTTCAGTTCATTACTAGTTGTATTACTTTGAAAATAATAT